TGCTTTTTTAAGCAATTTTGTCAGGAACAGCAATGCAAGCTCAGCAGATTTCCATATTCACATTGCAGCATATTGAAAAATTCTTTTTTTTAATCACCATCATGCTATAAAAATTCTCTCTCTCTCTCTCTCTCCCTCTCCCTCTCCCTCTCTGACAGACGAGCTCCACTGCAGTATCCCCCACTCCTCTTCGTGGCAGGCTTCGAACTGGTGGAAGTGTGGACCTAAGGTCACTAAAATATCCAGGTAACAACAAATTCATCCTTTTGTGGTGTTTGGGAATATGGGGCCTGTTTTCAATGTTTAACTAGAGGCACTCATAGAGTGCAAACCTCTGCCAAGGCAGCACAATCCAAATGTGCATGAGTGGGAGCAAAGTTGAGTTATTGCGTGTGATAGAATTTCAAGATGGCTGCCATACTGATCGCGGTCAAAATCAATAGGGTCCATCCTTAATGTAATAGCAATCCACCCACAAAATTTCAGACATATCTGTGTATTACTTTTTCAGTTATTTTGTTCACAATCTGATAAACAAACAAACAGACAGACAAACAAACAAACAAACAAACAGGGGCGAAAACATAACCTCTGCACCAACTTCGTTGGCGGAGGTAATAAAAGAAAAATTATGGAATGGATTATTTTTTTAGACTGAGATTATTTGTCCTTGGCTCGGTTTCTGTTAAGAACTTGATAAAGAGCTCATTTTCATTGAGTGCACACTCCTCTTCACATCCACATTACGTATGTGTTATTGGACTCAACTGTGCTCAAGAGTAATAAAGGAGTGGGAATTGTCGGTGAAAACAAGTACATTTGGTAAAAATGAAAGAAAAAGATTAGCTGTGTTCCTTCACTGTGGCTGTTGTAAGTATGCATGCATGTTCCTTTAGATTTGCAGCATGCTTCACAGACTGAAAATGACCCTCTCCTCCATTTTGTTGGCATTATTGCCAAATGCCCCGAGCTTAGTCTCATCACCACCCCATCTCCACCTATACACACCCTTACACTTACTCACACACACACGCGCGCACGCACGCTCCCACACACACACACGCACGCACACACACACACACATACACACACAGAGTCCATAAGGATTCTTATTTCCTCTTTCCATGATCAGAAATCACTTCCCAACTTCTCTGTAGACAAAATGATGCACACATTTGCGCAGCTATCCTTGTAAGGACTTTGCACTGACCTCCAGTCACTGAGGACAGCCTAACCTTCACCCTAAAACCTAACTAAATCATGCAAAACCCCAATTTGACCTAATCTTAATTTGCACCTGATTACTGACCTTATTCCTTAGGCAGGACTTCGGATCTTGTTCCCCCTCCCCCCCCCCCTTTCATTAGGTCCAGGTTTCAATCCCCAGGAGGACTACTGGCCTGGAAAAGGTCAGTCTTTATCACACTGGAAGAGGTGGCAAATAGGAAACAAAAAAGCAGCCGGCAACACATGCACAGTAAAACTGTCCCTCGTGTTAAGTGGGGTTTGTGTAGTGTAGACTGGCATGAGTCTGTGTTCAGTGGGGTTTGTGTGTTTTGTAGACTGGCACAAATCTGTGTTATGTGGGGTTTGTGTGTTGTGTAGACTGGCACAAATCTGTGGTCAATGGGGTGTATGTACTGTATAATTTCCATTAAACGGTATTAAATAGGATATTAAAAAAACAATATTTCTTTCTAGTTTAAGTTCAAAGCTATACATATCAATATTGATGAAAACTTTCATTTATATTTGGTTGAAATAAATATGACATTCCATCTGTCTCTTGATTATAATTTGTTTTTAAAAAGTTACATTTTATCAGAAAGTCTAAATAGCTCTTTTATATTAATAAATGTGATCTAGCAGAGGTAAATGGCAAATACTAATCATAAATGCCATCTTTATTCATTTTAGTTCAGATAAAGTCAACACCTTTGAAGTATTCCTCAATAAACTGTTGTGACTGTATTGTTTTAAAAAACCAATCATGTTGTGGGTCCATTGGACCCGTACACATTGGATGAGTAACAAAAATATTAAAACTATGCAAGGGTTAAAAAAGATAAATAATGAGCCAAACCTGCATTGCGTGAATGTGAAATAATCATGCTCAGCTACACAATAAGGACTCTAATGGCTCGTCTTTTATCTTGCCAGTTAAAGTGTTCCTCTTTGCAAATGTTTTCAATAAAGCCTTTTTTTTTTTATCCTCCACAGCTGTTTACAGCTATTTCAGACAGTATGGCTAAATATGCTAAATAATCCCTTCTAACATGAAAGGGGCTGAATTAAGAGAAATTAACAGCTGTTTAAAACTGTGATTGCAGTTACGGTTTGAATGAAACCACCATACGCACGGCGTCCCCAGGACTAACGTCGAGTCGCCGGTGTCAGTTCCACTCTTCACAGGTGATGCCGAAGATGCCTCCTGGAATTCCTTTGCTGTTCTCTGACCTGAAGTGGCTAATGCTGTGGCTTTTTTATTTCTCAATAACCATGGGCTTAAGAGACACTTGGGGGTGCTAAAGCCATTGGTTTATAGTATTTTTGTAAGGGGGGAAAAAAAAAGTTGTAAAATCTTTGTGGACTGCCTCAGACGGAAAATCGATCATCCTACCGATCAAGAGTAATGACAAAATACCCCATTTCTTTTCCTTTTATACTTTTCTGGCAGACCAATGCAGCTGCTAAAGCAAATAATATCTCTGATATTGTTGAAAGGCCTAGGATTTTAAAAATAAGTTTTAATTATTTAAAACCATTGTTTTGGCCTAAGGTGAACTCCCAAAGCACCAGATTGCTTAAAGGAACTATGTCACAATTAATGAGCATGCTCAGAACTTCAAAAATTTTAGCCTAAGAAAGTGAATCTGCTCGACTGCAAGTCAAAATCTGATTCCATCCTCGCCAACCCGTCTTTATTTTACATTGTATTTATTTATTTTAGTTACTCGGGAATTATGACTTTTCTTATGTTAAAGAGTTTCTATGGAAATTAGAGGATTCAAAGCCCTATTTTAGCGCTTTAGCCAAAGGATAAATGCAGAACGGAATTTTATACTTAATTGCTGAACCCATGAATTTTGAAACTGTCAAAACTGTTTTGTTTTTTTTTGTTTTTCAATTTTCATTACATAATCAAAGCAATATGTCAATTTGGGTGAACTAATACCAAGCGGTCTGTTGATAAGCCAAAAGAACTGAACATTTCAGGTATCAATAGCACATTTCCTGAATTAAAATAAAGTGAAAATAAAGATGAATTACTCGAGGACCTATAAGCATCCGCAAGACTGTAACAAGGATAATGACCTGGTATCATGAGAAATTTCAACAGGAAAAGTTTATTTGTTTTGAAAGACAAGCCACACATCTTAAGAAACAACACTAGTAAGCTAGCCTGAGCTCAAATCTGAAATATTCAGAAAAACAAACTACATGTGTCTTTGATCTCTTCTTTTTTCATATTGACACACTAAAAGTTAATATATATTTATAAATATAAAAGTTCCCCAGTTATTTTGCTTTCATTTTTGTAAAATACACAATACAAATCATCTTCACACTAATATGTTAGCCGTTTTGCCAATTTTTAGCAGATATGTCATAAAATGTTACTCAAAACACACAAATTGAAAGGGAGAAAAAAAAAAAATCACATCATGATATATATTTACATATACAAAATACATTACGTCATACAAAAAAAAAAAAAAAAAAGTAATCACAATGTACCTTCCAACAAATTTAAATAAACATCAAAACTTCTTCATCCAAAGGAAAAAAGGAAATCAAAAGGGAGAGATATGAGAGAATAAATTACCACTGTACTTCCACTTTCTTCATATGTACACCACAGACTATTATCTCTGGGACAGACACTGCCAAAGCCTTCCCAGAGGTCAGCAAACTGTGCTTGCATCAGAACGCGCTACAGCAGGCCACAACTCATTAAGAGGACGGTCAAATGGCACTTCATATATCAAAATATCTATATATAGCGTATATCAAAAAAATAAAATAAAATAAGAGCACAACAGAACAACAAAACAAATACACCGCTCTCAGCAAAGTAACATAGTTGTGAGAATTTGAACGACTGCGATAGTAGTGTTTATCTACCGTCAAAACCTAAGTTGCCGTGTGTGACTGCATAAAATATTGTAAATGCTACAACATTGTCTCTGCACTTTGGGGTTAAAAACAGACTAATCCATTAGTATAGGCTGTATATTATAGAGAAGCAGAGAATCTTCCAGAAAGGAGCTTAAGGGATTCTGCCAGCCTCCCCCATGTGCGGTGCAACGAAGCCACCACTCCATCGCCCGCGTCAATGAAAGTATCAGCAGTATTTTAAGGGTCCTTGAAAGAGCTCAGAGGTAACACAGCTAAACCTAAAAAATATACGAAAAGCATATCTTGTGCACCTGCATCTTGTGCTTAACATGGCTCTTGCACACCTGTCAAATTTATGGCTGGGCTACAGTAAATGCAAGGAGATTGGTAAACAGTCCCTAATCAGGAAGGTGATCGAAGGCACAGCTGATTTTGCCTCTCTGCTTAACCGGTCACTTCCGTCTATGGGTATGGGTTTTTTGGTGTCTCTCTGGTCCCAGGGCGTCTAAGTGTGGTCAGAGTACTGGAGGGGTATTTTCCAAAGCAGGACTGCAGAGTTTGCTGGCCATGTGTTTACTCTGGAACTTGGACCTAAAGCCATATTTTCGCAACATTGGATACTGGCATTTAACATGCTAATGTAGAAGTAAGCCTGTTCGAGCCTAGTGGCCCATCGGGCCGGTGCTTAACCCCGGTTTCCATGGCATGAAGCGACTAGGAGTATTACTACTCCCCCTGGATGGGATGCCAGTCCATCGCAGGTACTCCCCCAGCTCTTTGACAAGTTTCCCTGCCTATTTGCTGGTACCCATTTATACACCTGGGTGGAGTGAGGCGTGGAGTGTGGGAGTAAAGTGTTTTGCCCAAGAACACATCGTGAAGGTTGTGGCCGGGGCTTGAACTCGGGACCTTACGATCTCAAGTCAGCCTTGACCACTGCGCTACCGAGTCTCCCCAACATGCTAATGTGTCCAATACATTTTGCGATCGACTCAGCAAGACTCCACGTCTCTGTGACGAAGAGGAAGAGTCTGAGTTTTTGCTCCTCATACACTTACACTGCACCAACAAATACCACAGAATATACGATGCGTGCACTTTGAAGGACCAATCCAATGCTAGGTGTTTGTCATATTAATTTTTTCCTCGACAGGGTCGATCAAATATTTATGGAAGAGTGTAATATTAGTTTGGTCCAATTTTTTCTTTTGCAGAAGTGTTATATCGCATGGAGCTGCCATACAGCTAAAATCACAAGTAGCTGCGTTGTGATACACAGCTACTCAATGTTAACGAACGGAACTTTAGCTACAGTACTCTCTATTGTTGTATTAGCGCAAAATTTTGTCAATATTGCCGTTTTTAACTATAAATTATGAAGTACTTGGTGGTGGGATGCAACAATTATTCCAACAATATAACCCAGGATGTATGTAATCAGCAGCTGCCCACTGGAGATCCGGAGCGGAGCAAGCCATGATTGTTGGCCATCAGACCTCCAAACTACATCAATAACACACTATGGTTGTAATACAACAATACCACTCAGCATTGTGCGTGTCCAGCAATCATTTTGCATCCATCCATCCAACCTTGGTCCACCGCTGATCTGAGGTCGGGTCATGGTGGGTAGCAGGCTAAGTAGAGGGGCCCAGACGTCCCCCTCCCCAACCACTTCCTCCAACTCTTCCTGGGGGACCCCAAGCCATTCCCAGGCCATCCGGGAGATATAGTCCCTCCAGCGCATCCTGGATCTGCCTCAGGGCCTCCTCCCAGTTGGACATGTCTGGAAAACCTCCAGGAGGAATCCGGACCAGGTGCCCCAACCACCTCAACTGACTCCTCTCAATGTGGAGGAGCAGCGGTTCTGTTCCAAGCCTCTCCCAGATTCACTCGCTTCATTGCAGATGCTGCATTGATCCGCCTGTCAATCTCATGCTCCATCCTACCCTTACTCGTGAACAAGATCCCGAGATACTTAAACATCTCTACTTGGGGTAACAACTCACCCCACACTTGGAGGGGACAATCAACCTTTTACCAGCACAGAACCATGGCCCTAGATTTGGAGGTGGCGATTCTCATTCTGACCGCTTCACACTCAGCTGCGAACCGCTCAAGTGTGCGTTGGAGGTCACAGCACGATGAAGCCAACAGGCCTACGCCATCTGCATACAGCAGAGATTCAATCCTGAGGTCACCAAACCGGACACTCTCCAAGCCTCGGCTGCACCTTGATATCCTGTCCATGAAAACCATGAACAGAATAGATGACAAGGCATACCCTTGGCGGAGTCCAAGGCCAACTGGAAACCAGTCTGACTTAATGCCGAGAATGCGGACACAACTCCAGCTTTGGTTGTAAGGGGATCAGATGGCTCGAACTAACGGCTCCAGAGCCCCATACTCCTGCAGCACTACCCACAGGATCCCTTGTGGGACACGGTTATAAGCTTTCTCCAAGTCTACAAAACACATGTAGACTGGATGGGCAAACTCTCATGACCCATCTAGCGTCTGTGCAAGGGTAAAAAGTTAGTCCACTGTTCCACAGCCAGAACGGAACCCGCATTGCTCCTCATGGACCTGAGTTTCCACAATCAGGCAAAGTCTCCTTTCCAGCGCCCTGGCATAAGCATTCCCTGGGAGGCTGAGCAGTGTGATCCCCCTGTAGTTGGAGCACACCCTCCGATTCCCCTTTTTAAAAATGGGTACCACCACCCCAGTCTGCCTGTCCAACGGTACTGTACCCAAAATCCATGCAACGTTGAACAGGCGTGTCAACCATGACAGCCAATCAGCATCCAGAGCCTTAAGCATCTCAGAACGAATCTCGTCCATCCCTGGCGACTTGCCACTGCGGAGCTTTTTGACCACCTCAGTGACTTCCACGAAGGAAACGGACCAAGATTCACCTGAGTCTTCCATCCCTAACTCCACAATGGAGGGCGAGTCTGCCGGGTTCAGGAGTTCCTCAAAGTGCTCCTTCCACTGCCGAACAATATGCTCAGTCGAGGTCCGCGGTTCCCCAACCTTGCTGAAAACAGCTTTGGCGAAGCCCTGCCTCCATTCAGGAGTCGTCTGACAGGTTGCCAGAACCTCTCTGAGGCTGCCTGAAAGTCCCTCTCCATAGCTCCCCCGAACTCCTCCTAGGCCTAAGTTTTTGCTTCTGTCACCATCGCGGCCGCAGTCCTTCCAGCCCTTCGATACCGGTCTGCCAAATCAGGATTGCCCTGGACTAACCAAGCCCGAAATGCCAGCTTCTTCAGCTCGATGGTCTCCCTCACTCCTGATGTCCACCAATGGGTCCTCAGGTTGCCGCCACAACTGGCACCAACAACCTTCAAGCCACAGCTCGTGACAGCTGCTTCCAAAATGGAGACTTTGAACAGGGTCCACTCGGACTCCATGTCCCCAGCCTCCCCCGGGATGTGGGAAAAGCTTTTCGTCTATAAGCTGCCCTCCCAGGCCTGGCTCCAGGAAGGAGCCCCGGAATGCCTATTCCAGGCAAGGCTCTCGTAACTTGCAGTGAACGCATCACAGGAGTCTAAAGAGTCTAATCATTTTCGAGGAAGTAGCTACATCACGGTCCGAAAGAGCCAAATCAATCGAAGAACAAAGAGTGGCGCGCCGAGGGAAAGGACTACTTAAAGAATATTGTTTTTGGGAATTTTTCCTTTATTTGATAGTTATATAGTGTAGAGAGACAGGAAGGTTGGAGAAGAATAGGGGAAGACATGCAGCAAATGACCCGAGCCGGAATCGAACCCAGGTCGCTGCGGGAAGGACACAGCCTTTATGGTACGCGCGCTTAGACCGATGAGCCACCGGGGCGCCCCGGAGAAGGACTTCTTATCCGAAAGGCCAGATCTACTTGTTCTTAAAAATTATAATAACACAAAAACCAGACGCCGATCGTTTTATTATTCAATGCCTAAATATCACAGTATGTAGGAAACGTCAGATTTACAAAAACTTATTTGCAAGTTAGTCGTTTTATCAACACAAGTGAAATTGGAGGTAAAATTCAAACACCTCCTCCACAGTGGAAAGAAATCTTGGTGAGTCAACTGCAATAATATACTGGGACACACTGATAACAGCATATTATCTCTACAGTCAATGTTGCGAAAATATATCTTAAAGTAAAAAGAGCAGTTACTTTCCACAGTCATCCAGCTAATGCCATAAACCTGTATAGTGAAGTACCCCACCCCCCCGGTGGGACTGGGAGATACCGAGGGGGCGGGGGCTTTCAGAAGCAAAACTACAGAATGAGCTGGATAACTGCCAAAGCTCGGGATTTACTCCGCACATATCCAGCTAACACGGTTATCCTGATTTGTGAAGCAAGGCCCCGCTAGCACACATGGCACCTTAACCCTGGACCTAAAGGCCTGTTACTGAGCTCGCTGTGAAGTCAAAGGCACTGGAATCTGTTGGCAGTGAAACTACCTCTGTGAGAGATTGGTGTCCTGACAATGAGGGAACCATCCAACAGAACTGGGGGGGAAAAAATAAATTTTAAAAAATCTAGACAAAATCCACCTCTGCCTCCTGTAAGACACTCCTCCCAGTGCTCTGGGATTTGATATGTTAGTGGGAGTCATTCTGTCCTGAACATCTTAATTAGTTTTCTCCTGTGTTAAGGAAGGCAGAGATTTTCCAACTGGGCTGCATAAACTGAGATTTTAGAGCTGGAACAGTCATTGGCCTTTGAACAAAACAATAAGGCCCAAAAATCAACATTTTTCTTTCTAATTGTGGAAAAAAATCTAGGGTAAAGACATTAGTGAAGTGTCATGTACAATCAAAAAAAAATAAATAAAATAAAACAGTGTTAGGCAGTGTATTCAGTGTACAGACAAGGCAGGGATTTTCCTTTTTTTTTTTTTTTTTTTTTTTTTTTTTTTTTGAAGTTGACATTAGATCACTGGAGTGATTTGCAAGCTGGTACATTTTCCCAAGGAACAGCAAAGAAAATAAGAAAAATGAGACAAAAGCCATCAATCAAAATCTAGCAGCACAAAATAGCATGCAAAACCAAAACAGCACTTAATCATCGGTAATGCACAAAATCAAGAGAAAAATTGCCAGAAAATGAAAGTTTCTGTGAACTATCCGAATTCTTGGTTAAACAGTATGAGCGCCAAGTAGCTGCAGCCATTCACACTGGACCTCAGTCACCACAAGACTCAACTCCAGCATTTACGCGTGCAAATTCGGACACCACTCCCCCAGCCAATCAGAGGCGAGAAAATCATTTCACGGGAAATGCAATGACAGTGTAAAAAAACGAAGATGCATGCTATAAACTGATGTCTCAACTTAAGAGCGCCTAAAATCCCACAGATTAAATATGCCTTAAATATAAATAAATTACACTTAAAAACACTACGGACGGTTTTTGAGAACCAACAGTTAAAATGTCTAATAAAGAAATAATCAAGTAGTTCTTAAAAAGGAACAACAAGCTGCCATTTATTTGCAAAGTTCAATGCATTCCTATGCTGTGTTCTTCACTAAATGAGAGGGACTAGTAACAGGAAATGAAGCTAGCCCCCTTTTTAGCCAGAACTGCTGGTGGGAGAGCTGCAAATATATACTGCTCGCACATGCGCTCCCGAAGCACGAGCAATCAGCTCGTGCTTCACCATCTCTCAGTCCCAGCGTATATCTCTTTCCTTGCTGGAGAAAAGTACATCAGAATTCCGAAAAGTTTTTCAGTAGTGGCGGCGCGTTTGAAGCCGTGTGAGAGGGACAACTCGTGACTAATTATTCTGGCACACAATTCCCCTGATGCTTTGCACATCTGGGACGGACATCGACCGAGATGGCCGGACGGCTCTTGGGTGGAGCTGTATGCTGCCTGTGAAACCACAACAGCCTCAGGTTTGGAAAGCAAGCGATTCCTCCCCATCACATCCCCTACAGCCCCTCCCCTTTTCACA